CCTCAGGGACTCCGGTGGGAATCCGGGAATTCCCGACGGGAATTGTGGGAATAACAGGAATTCCAGATGGGAATCATGGGAATTCCAGATGGGAATAACGGGAGTCACGGGAATTGGGGGGTTTGGGAATGTGGGAACGAGCTGGACCTGTGCAAGAACCACCTCAGCGACTCCGGTGGGAATCCGGGAATTCCCAACGGGAATCACGGCTGGAATCACGGGAATCACGGGAATTCCAGCTGGGAGTCACGGGAGTCACGGGAGACACGGGAATTGGGGGTTTGGGAATGTGGGAATGGGCTGGACCTGCGCAACAACCACCTCAGCGACTCCGGTGGGAATCCGGGAATTCCCGCCAGGAATCACAGTGGGAATCACGGGAATCACGGGAATCATGGGAATTCCAGATGGGAATCATGGGAGTCACGGGAGTCACGGGAATTGTGGGAATAAGCGGAATGTGGGAATGGGCTGGACCTGTGCAACAACCACCTCAGCGACTCCGGTGGGAATCCGGGAATTCCTGCCGGGAATCACAGTGGGAATCGTGGGAATTGTGGGAATTCCAGATGGGAATAACAACGGGAATCATGGGAATTCCACACAGGAATAATGGGAGTAATGGGAATTGTGGGGTTTGGGAATGTGGGAATGCGGTTGGGAATGGATTTGGGAATGTGGGAATGGGGTTGGGAATGGATTTGGGAATGTGGGAATGGAGTTGGGAATGTGGGAATGGGGTTGGGAATGGATTTGGGAATGTGGGAATGGGGTTCGGGAATGGGGTTGGGAATGAGGGTTGGGAATGTTGGGAATGGGATTTGGGAATCCTTGATCCCTGATTTTCCAGGCCTCACCTAATTCCAGGATTTTCCAGGCCTGGCCTGACGCCCGTTTTCCCGGGATTCCCGGGCTGTTCCCACCATTCCCTGATGCCGGTTTTCCCGGGATTTCTGGGCTGTTCCCACCATTCCCTGACGCCCGTTTTCCTGGGATTCCCGCTCTTTTCCCCCTTTTCCAGGCCTGGCCTAATTCCAGGATTTTCCAGGCCTGGCCTGACACCCGTTTTCCCGGGATTCCCGGGCTGTTCCCGCTATTCCCTGACGCCGGTTTTCCCGGGATTCTGGTCTTTTCCCGCTTTTCCCTGATCCTGGGATTTCCGGGCCATTCCCTGACACCGGTTTTCCCGG